TCCGAGCGCGCGCTCGTGGGAAATCGGACACACCCTTAAGTGGCGGTGCGTCTATCACCCAGAAGACAATGGCGGCGAGGCTGCGTAGCGTGTGTTGGGAGGGCGCCCCGGTCTGCAGTGACGTGGCGGGCAGTTCTGCATGGTGAGACCCCCGACGATTGCCAAACACCGGTGCAACATCACTGAAACTGAGATAAAATCGTGGCGTTCGCATTATACCCAGTTGATGCGTCGCAGTAGTGGCACCGCGGACGCTGAGGCTGACGGGTTCCTCCTGTGGAAACGTGTAAATGCGTAGAGAACAGTGGAATCGGGCGTGTTGGTATAACATCATAAAGGGTGCTTACCAGCGCCAACGACAGGGAAGGAGGGGACAGGAGTCTCTGTCTCGTCTCTTCTCCTGTCCCCTCCTGCCCTGTCGTTTGCGCTGGTAAGCACCCTTTATGTGCAGAGAAAATCTGCGAAACAAACGCCTAAGCATAACTTGCTTCGGCGTAGATAGAGGACATGCCTGGAGGGCCGGTGGGCAGTTTGAAGAGGTTAACCAAACCTCGCTAAGCAGTCGTAACGCGTCAAGCATTGTTTACTCTAGTTGTCTGACCTCTGTGCACCTCGTGAGGGTCAAGGGGCCACTAGGGCAACGGTGCAAAGGTGGGCCGCTGACTATCGCTGTTTGCGTATTAAGAGAGAGGTATAGACAGCCAAGTGAAGCACTTGTACGACCCCTTCGTGAGCAGGGCTTCTTGCTTATCCCGATCATATCAACTGGGATCAACGGGATTTTCCGCTGAGCAGACTTTACAACAAGCACTTTCATGTGGACGGGCGCGCTGCGTTCGTCGTAGCTGCAGAGTAAGTGTTTCGAAACCTTTCTTCGGCTTTCTTCAATCCAATGAAATCGCCAGTGGTCATCTTCAATCCTTGCTACGACTATAACACCGTACTATGGCACTGTATGCATATGTCCAAGACGTGCATGTCCGGCCTTGCTAGTCAAGGGAGGCCTCTCCTCTGCAAACGGCATTCCCAAACACTCCACGACTCGAATTAAGTCCATCACTTGACAAGAGTTCAGCCGCTGCTCGACTGAAAATGACGCGGCGCTTCTCAAGAATCGCTGCAGATTATCGCTGATACGCAGAGATTTGCTCTGCCTAGAGACGACGGCCCCACTAAATTTAGCAAGTTAAGGTGAAGCGTTAAGTTAACGGACGTTCTAGAATACGGGGCGAACACGAACTGCTATTACTATCTGTTGTCAGAGGCACTTTATTTTATGTTCTTTTATCACTGCCTCACCATAATTTTTTGTTGTCACGCCTCATTAACTGCGTCTTCAAGTGTTCTCAATTTCATATATTTCCGTTCCCATTTCACTCACTCCAGGGCAATGGTTCTCAAATGGTGATCCTCGGAACCAATCCTCGAGAAAAAGAAAGAAAGAATGAAAAAAAAAAGAAACGCATTTTTGGTGCTACACTATTTTCCGTGATAGTGGCTCCTTCGATTTTCGATATGCTTCACTGCATAAAATTATTGCATTGCGGCGGAGCAAAACGTTGTGCCCTTCTTCGTGATTTGATTGTAAAGCTTTCATTGCAGTTTTTTTTTACGAGATATGCATATCATGATGATGAAAACTTTATTTCTTTCAAAAGGGGGAACCGATACAGAGCACACTTTTTTAGGGGTGCACGTTTGAAGAGGATAACGTTTTGACAAGCTGTTGAGATCAAATTGGCTTGGCGATTCAGTGTGACTATTCCTTGCCCGAGAAAAATAACAGGCACATATTTCGTGCTGCCCGCTCCCGGGTTGAAGGCCAGCAAAGCGGGCGCAGCGCATAGTGCGCGCCGCCCGCATCTCTTTTTTCCCTTCTTTGTTATCGTAGGCACTGCGCCGTGTCGCTTTATGGCTGACAGAAGGTAGGTGCCCTTTTCCTTTTTCAAGAATCACTACCACCACCGTTTCTCGCCGTAGGCTGCATGGCAACTTCTGGCACACGCCACATCGCGACCGCGCCGCCGAGAACTTCCGTGGCGCTTCTGTGCGATGGCGCCATCTGGTTTTGCATGAACAAACTACTTGTGGAAAACCCAGCCCTCCGAGATGGCAAGCACGCGGCGTGCTTGCCATCTCGGAGGCCATAGAAAAACGTATATTCTACGTGTTTTGAGCCAATTCTGCCGGGGTAAAATATCGTTGCAGTTGGTCTTTAAGGTCTCAGTGCGGTGTGTGTGTAAATGTGCAGTGAGTAAACTCAACGCGTACGAACGCACAGAGGCGTAGGACATTGTCTAGAGCTCCATAGTTTGCCCTGACAGTGCACCAGCGCGCAATGTTCGCTCGTACTTTGGACGCACAAAACACTGTCATAAAAACTGTTGAAGACGGCAGAAGCATTTACCTTTGCTGCAGGTATGTCGCCTGTGTGAGCACGACATACCTGCACGACATTTTTGCAATGCCTCCATGACCGGCCTACATTTGACCGAGCGATGGCATTACGTGACATCACAAATGTTAGCTACTTGTGATGTCATCACGTGATAATGATTTCTTGCATCACTCGCTTCGACAGTAAATTTTTGCGTTTGATTGGGCTTCTGAGGCTTTCACCTTATTGAGATGATAGATGCATCTATTACAAGAGGACAGACAGAGTGTAGTTGGTCGGGCATGGTCGAAATGATTAACGTACTAATAACAATGTTTTTACCGTTACGTGAAATTCGACTAATATTAATAATCCGTAAGATTCATTTTCTTATTCGAAAGGTCATCTATAAACCTATTGAGATTAGGCTATTTGAGTGGTGGCGTTCGTCGCTCCCGGACTCCCACGGCCGGGCCCCCTTTGCAAATGTAACCTGGCAGTCTAGCACAATCGGTACTACGTCGCCTTGCCATGATTGATGCTACGCTGAACCCAAAGCCCCCGTACTTACGAAGGCAAGTCACGAGAGACGGACGCTTGCGCGATACAACAGCCGGCAGCACACACCGCTGAGGTGCGGAGGGCCAGTCCCCTCGACAACGACCCGCTTTCACTTTCTCGTCTCGCTCATTTTTTTCATTTTCTTTCGCTGCTCTCCTTCGCGCCCATCGTACACGATGCGACCCCCCGCCCCTTCCCTTCATTTTCTGGCGGACTCGCAGTAATCGGAAGCGCCCCCACGTGACACAGACACACGCTGCCAAGGGGCTGATATTTCCACGCTCCTTCGGGTCACGCTTAACGGCCAAGAAGTAGCGCGAATTCGCGAGGATATGCGCTCGTAAACTATACCACGCACGCTACGGGCGGACTGGGGTGCTTGTATGTTGATTGACATTGTGGGGTTTAACGTCACAAAATTGCCATATGATTATGAGAGACGCCGTAGTGGAGGGCTCCGGAAATTTCCACTACCTGGGGTTCTTTAACGTGCACCCGGGTGCTTCTACGGCCAGATCATTGTTGTAGAAGTTAGCCATTAAAAGAAAATCTAGAAACGTTTACATTTTGAATCGTCACAATAAGCACTGTAGGCATTGCAATACACCAATATTTAAAGAAAAGTTGATGGCCAGAGGATGGAAAGTAATGCTTTTAAGCACAAGATAACATGGACCTGCAAAAGATGCTACCCGTTCTGAAAAAAAAATCGGCCTAAACAACAAGTCATACTAGAGAAAACAAAAATTAAGTACAATGATGTACAAAACTGCTGGCATGCTGGATAGTTTAGTCAGTGAAACTCCAATTTGACATATCAATGGCCGTCGCTGCGCTGTTTGCATCACACACTAAGTCCATAGATATGGGATGTCAGAACTTTACTAAAGTTCCACCATCCATCCATTCACAAGTGACAGCCTGGTGTTGACATGCAAGAAAATGCAGCATAATCATAAGGTAGATATTGATATTATCATAAGCGTGCTCAGGGTTTTCTTCGGTGTGTAGGGAGGTGGGGGTGGGCGAAGGCCTGTCGCAGCACCCTCTGCCTTCATAATATGCCATAGATGGGGCGGCTGACTTTGCCCCCCCCCCCCCCCTGTCGAGGTCAAGTCGCACCGCCCCCTTCCTCTTATGTCTATGGCTTGCTATGTACTCCATCTCTTAGGTGACTAGGGGATTGCCCGTGTGCGCACGCCATATAATTTTATGTAGGGCGAGGCTAATCAATAGGGAGCTTCCATCTAGTGCTGATTATTTTTATGCAGCTTTCACTAAAACGACTGAAAGGCATTTTCGTTCTTGATATGTTGAATTTGAAGGACAGAGAACAAGTACAAAGCATCTACTGATGTTATCAATAGCAGGATCATCTGCTGGTATGGGCTTTTGGGGCAGCCTTGACACCTTTACATATGTTGTTTCCACGATATGCTTAACTTCAAAACAAACAATGTGTGGCAGGTTGTGTTTTCGTTGACGAACGCAAAGGAAGCCACCACAGAAGCCCAAATGCTCTGGTATTGCAAGGAACGTGGAGCATGTAAGAGATAGCAATGTAGTATAAAAAAATGGAACATATCTGAAGTCGGGATGTTAACATTGATTTACACAGAGGACTTTCAAGTGCATAAAAACTTCACCCTTCACCTATGAAAATTCGTAGAAGTAGCATATACCACTCAGCAAAGCTATATGGCTGGTTGTTGAGGTATTCTTTGCAAGTTATTAGTTGTATGTTACATATAGTCTCTTTACACACACAAACACACCCTGACACTCCAGAGAATGTGGCACGTGGTCTCCACATGGCAATGTTTGAATGTAGTGTTTTAAGCTCATATTTTATTTTTGACCACCATTGTGGAAAGAAGATATCGGGCGCTGATTGATATGTGGTGTTTAATGTCCCAAAACCACAATATGATAATGCGAGATGCCGTAGTGAAGGGCTTCGGACCACCTGGGGTTGTTTAACGTGCACTCAAATCTGAGCACACGGGTCTACAGCAATTTCGTCTCCATCGAATGAACAATGATGCAAACTGTCACACAGCCATTTATGTAAAGCTGAACTGCTTTATTACCTTCTCAAGCTGTGCTGTAGTGCTTATGTCATAGTCATTTGTTGAGAATCTTGTGTGCAGCTGTATAAAGTAAAATAAATTGATTGCAATAACTATATGATCAACTCGGCCAACATTTTAATTTAATGCTGTTCTCACAACACAACTGGACTAGTCAGTCAACAGATTCAGTTTTGTCTGTGAAGGGTCTTGAAAATGCAGGTCACAATGGTATTCAGCTGGTTGTCATTTGACGACATCAACGTCGTCTAAAATGTCCGACGGTGCTTCCAAACCTATGATGCTGCTGGTACCCCCATCATCTGACAGGGCCGAGTCAGTCGATTCACCAGGGTCCCCAAACTGGTTTAGGCCAAACAGGCAACCAGGCTGCACCACATCCAAGCCAAGGGCAGCGATGTCGTCCATGGACTGGAAGGGCTCGATTTCCGGAATGTCCATATCAATGGTGCTCTCAACATCGACGTGTACATTCTCAGTGCTGCTTTTGATTTCTGGAACACTGGAAAAAAAAAAGAGAAGAAAAAAATAGCACCGTAGTTCATCATCACCTTGACGACATCCAATTCAACCCCATCCTGTGCTTGCTGCAGCTGGGTTATCCCCACAATTTTGTTAATCTCATTCGTCCACCAAAATTCCTGCCTCCCCCAATGCACTGGCCTTTTCTTGTATTCCAGCCTGCTGCTCCTAAAGACCAGCAATTATTTTGCCTTCAGGCTACATGTCCTGCTCATGCCAATATCTTCTTGACTTTGACTAATATGTTGCTGACACCTGTTCGCTCCCTCATCCACTCTGCTTTCTTGTTACTTTCTTTGGCTTCCTATACCGTCCTAAATTTAAATTACACCATTTCGTAAGCCTACAGATTTCTGCCTCGTAAGTAAGCGCCAGTAAGGTGCAGCCTACTATATACCTTTCTCTCAAGGGCTACGTGTTAAACTACCAGTCATGATTTGAAAATGCCTGTCACCACATTCTGACACTTCTAGTTGCTTCACTCATGGTTTGGATCTGCCGTCATTACCTGTCCTTAGTAGACGTATTCTTTTTACTAATTCGAGTGCCTCATTACTGTTGCCTCGCAAAGCACTGTTCTCATTAGAGACTGTTGCAACATCACTTCAGTTTGTTGCAGTATTAATTTCCAGACCTACTATTCTGCTCTCCTAGTCTCATTTTATAGTTAGCTGGGAGAGAAGGGGTGCCAGCAAAAATGGTGCATACTGGAGACGACAAATAAAACGAACTTGAATTTAAGAGTAGTCTGCACCTTTGGCAATGAGTCCTCAAGTGCAAAGAAAAAAAAAGAACAATGCACTTTTTGTGAAATTTTTTCTTTGGTTATGTATCGGGTTGTGTTAACAAGCCGATTTTAGCTTTCTCTGGCCTCATGTCCACAATATCAGCGGTGATGCAATGTTTGGATGGCACAAATATAGCTCATGCTAGAAATGGCACTGATACCATTTGGGCTCCTGGTAAAACTTGATCACCCCTGCTACTTGTTAGTTATTCCAAAATACTATTAAAGTCTCCTAAATTTAATTTTATGCAGCAATTAACAGTACATATGTTGACACACTTGAAAAGTAAGGTGCCTCTGAGTCACTAGAATAATTTTACCCTGCTGCTTTACATGTTCAGGGCTGGCGATACCCGACTGTCCTACTTGATCTGACTGTTAAACCAGAGCGAAAATCTGAAATGTTGTAACAGTGTAAAATGTAGATGCACGATTCGTCAGAAATTCCAAAAATGCTTCTTATGTGCTCGGCAGTAGAGTAGAAATGCTGAAGAGCAATAATGTTTAAATTAATATCACATTATTTCCTCTGTGAGCCCAATTGGGGATATCACGCAAAAAGTAATTCAAATATGTAGAACATTTTGTTGGGCTAGTTGGCACATGTTTTACGGAAGGAATAAGGTGCAAGTAAGACATACAAAAAGAGAGATGGACAAACGCCTACTACCTTCCATAAAAAGTAATTACTTTACATTCCATCATTTTCTAGTTTCAGCATATTACAAAAATTGCACAAGACAAGCTTTGTTTCACCTACCATAAATCCCATTCTACTTTATCTACAAGCATCATGACGATGACACCAACAAGCAGAAATGATTTTTGTTGTGCTGGTTGTACTTTTCTAGCTCTATTATACCAAAAGTCTCTACACAACAGACCTATACATTGAAATTACCTCTTTAATGAGGGTTTTCAGATGTCTAAACCTGAAGTGTTACCTTTGATATTTGTGAAAGCTACTAAATGTAATTACCTGTGCAATGAATGAAGAATTTGAGTTTTCATGAAGGTTGATTACAGATTGCTTGCACTGATGTAGCTGAAACCGCCATGTAGATGCTCTGCATGGCATCATTCAAAATTTGTGACGTCTCCTTAATGTTATCATGGCATTACTTCGAAGCTCTTTTTGTTTTGATGCACAGAGACCAATAAAGTGGTTGCATTGCTATCATATTGAAGCACAACATTGTTATGCTGTCTTTACGTCGTCAAAGCTGTCATCACAGTGACCCAGTTTGTTAGGAAGCTGTGCCATGGCCTTTTTACAGATGGCTACAAAATGAATTAATTCGGGGAGAGTAATAGTGAAGTTTCGTCTCAAATGGAATAATGCTGTATTGTGGCTCAAACTCTCAGATACAAACAATTTTAATCAATACTGAAAGAACAAATAAATTAAGTTTGCTCATATTCTCGAGCAGATAACGCCGTGTGTGACTATTACCAAAATGCCACAAATAGTACTACAATGGTAAGGCTAGAAAACTAGTGTTTCATTAGTTCATGGTCAAGAGGGTGCTTCGTTACTAAAATATCTTCAGGCACCCATTCAGAGCAGTGTTTAACTGTGTGCCGGAATGATGGAAATTTCTGAACAAGTGGTGCTGCGCAGGAGAGGACAACTGCACAGTGTGAACAAATTTACACAAGTGCAGCCGTGATTCACCAAAGGTTTCGTGGGCCTAAGTTGGGATGTCTTGCAGCGCTTGCGGGATACATGACCGAACTACGTAAAATGTCGGTGCCTTCGTTCAAGAGAAGTGATTAGCTTAGCACTTTTCTCAAGTTATTTTTTTTACTTGCGGATTCACTTTTTTCTACTTACGCATATTCACTTTTAAAGTAAACGCTTGCACTTGCTTTTGAACCAGGATATCAGTGAAAGTTTTAACAAAAAGACTGCGATAACTTCGTTAAGGTTAGTGTCAGGCAACCTGCCCCAACCATGTTGCACCATTAGCCTTTTACTGTCTAATTAAGTTATTCTGTTTGAAGGCACAATGGGGCTTTTTTCAAGATGCTGCATACGGCTTTTACCCTTGCATCCGCTTTTTTCTTATGTATTTTGAACAAAGAAATATATTTCGTTCATTCTGCCGACATTCGCACGTCCTAGAAATCATCTGTTCGGCAAATCAATGAATTAAGCTTCCAAGAAGATTTCATTAGCGTTGTACAGCGACTGCATTTCGCAACGCTTAACTATACAGAAGCACCTAGCTTTGGTCCCTTCGCCAAGCAACTCCTCATGTGCGAGTACGACTTACCTGAAGTCTAACAAAGGATTGGGCGCGGCATGTACCAGGCAGACGTCTCGCGGTCCACGGACTTTCAACAAAACAGTGCTGCAAGCTTGGCCATTGTTGCTGTCACCATCGCAGCGCTCGAACAGCTGTTGTTTGCGGTCGTTAAGTATGTGCGAGCGACAGAACCTTGACAACGGAATGGCCGTACTGCTACACCCTGCCTGGCTGCAAGTCACACCCTCCTCAATCGCGGGTTGGCCAGTGCGCCCGCTCTTCTGCTTCTGCTTCAGCCTCTCTTTCAGAACGGCTTCGGCACCGTAGGTGCGGTGGTATCGGCAATAGGCACGGTAACGCTTGTACACCGCCTCCTCCTGGGGCGAAGTGAAGTCCTTGGAGCCCGACGGCCCCTTGTTACGGAGGTACTGAGCACGCTTGTCCATCAGAACGTCCGTCAGTCTCCTAAACTGGTTCAAGTACAACCTCTGCAGTCGCACAAGCTTATCACGCGTGATCGAGGAGGCTTCCTCGACGGTGTACACGCCGGCGTGCCGGAGCGGATCGTCCAAGTCGTCGTCGAGACTGTCGGCATCGCTGTCTCCCGGCGCGCACGCTGGAAACTCGCCGATCGTGGGAGGCTCCTCGTCGCTCTCGACGTCGTAAAACTTCACCGTGTTCCTCGCGGTGTCAGACTGGTCCACGGAGTGCTGCGGGTCCCGGCAGTAGTGCTCCAACGTCTCGATCACCTTCTGGGGCGTTTCGACGAGGTGCTGCTTCTTGCCGGACGAGCGACGGTGCTGGAGAGCTTTTCGCGCGTGAAACTGGCACAGCGACTCGCGCTTGTCGGTTTTCGGCGCCGCGTAGGCGCACCGGCGCCCGCTTTGAGCGTGCGTGTAGGCGCACTGTCGAAAAGGAGCGCCCTTGTCCTCCAGAACGTGCCGCATGCAGTACTCGTAGCCCTCGACTCTCGCTTGGAGGCACACGCGGTGCATGTAGTTGCACAGCTTGCGCTCCGGGGCGGTGACCGGCCGCGGCTTTCGGCTCACCATGACTCGCCTGATGACGCTCATCGCTGCGATGTCTGGCTGGTGTTTGCACTTGTCGTCCTTGGTCGTCGCGTCCGGCGCGAGCTTGCCTCTGTCGGAACACTCCGAGCTATTCATCCAGACGGCGGGTAGCCATTGCACTGCGTCTCGCTGCTTTTCTCCGCCATTGACACGATCAGACACGATCTACGACGCCACTCGAACGCTTCAGCTGCGACGCAGCTGCCACCTGCACAAATGACACATCAACCGTACGAGCCGCGTTTGAGATGGTCGCGCCATCTCGCAACAACTTCGAAAAGCTATATGTAGAGAGGTGGCCTCTGAGATGCGGGACGCATTGAAGTCACTGAGGCTACGGTTGCTGTTTTTTCGCTGTCTTTAGATGGTTTCAGACGTGGAATAAGGCGGCTTTTTTGAATAATGGTGACTGTCATCTCCATATCGTAGGATAATGTTGAAATGTGTTGTCATTGCAGCAAAATCGTACCTTTAAGAGAGAATTAGGAAGACATAGTTATCAGTAGGTTGATGACACCGTGCAACAGCATAGCCTTCTAGATGATCATTTGTTACTGTGATAGAGCCGTAACTGAAGCTTGGCGACTATTTCGTTGTGAAACACTAGAACGAGAATTCAAATTGTATTGACGTCTCGTCAACTCTATGAAGACTTTTTATATTATCTTTTTGGTTAGTCCATATCCAGTGGCGAGGCCTTTATACTTTTGTCTCTTTTAAATGCCATTCCTTATTGTGATTGGTTGCCTGTTGATTCGGTCCTATTCCATTGTTCTGTAATGATTGCCAGTCGGCACTTTTTTTTTTTTAACTGAAAGTGGCAATGGGCTCTTCGTGAAAAAAAAAACCTCAATCGGATCTCGCATTTGACCCGCCCACCTGTCTCCACTTATATATATTAAACAAATGCTGATCATTTCAATTTTCTTAATTACTACTGTATTTGGCGTCTCTGCTGATCTTGAAATGTCTGGCATGGCAGGAAAAGCAATTATCAAGGCAGCGAGGAGAATATTGCATTTTAAATTTTTACGATTTCCGGACGTATTTTTATAAACACTCCGCCTACTTATTTTGGTCTCTGCGTTTTCGAAGATTATTTTTCTTGAAATTCGGAGGTTCGGAGGGTATTTTCGCATCGAATTTCTCAACGCCCTTGACCATTTGTGAAAATACTCTTCTTCCATGACTTCCTTGAATTGTATTATCACCTTGTTGTTCAGCTGTTACTTTTTTTTTTAAGTCATAACCCCTCTGTCTTATAGCAAAGAAATTGTGTAAAAAACGCTTTGCAACCTTGTTTCATTCTGTTATTTAGTGTGTTTCATGTATGCTCACCCTGCTTGGACTTTTTGTCCGCAGTATTCTATAAATAAAATAAATAATAAATAAATATGAATTTATTTGAGAAATCTGGAGTTTAACGGAGTTTATTCGACGTAAATCTGGAATTCTCCGGAATTTGGCGTTTTTTTCATTGTAAATGATGACAGCTAGTTATTATTACTTTTATTTCCAATGAATATGCTTTGCATTGTTGCCGATAATCCTATTTGTCCATCGTTTAATGTCTTCTCACTTCCTGTTCAAGGACCTTTTTAACAAGGCTGTTAATTTGCACTGCTGTAAACTTGCCAAAGTGTACTTTTTCTAGCAGTGGTGGGGGAGGAAGGGGCATATATATATATATATATATATATATATATATATATATATATATATATATATATATATATATATATATATATAGCTAATAAACTGTTTTTCAGCTATCTTTTCCAGCTTCTTTCGTCGTCTTTCTTGACAAAAAATAAAGGATTGGTTATTATTATTAATTTTATTATTATTATTATTATTATTATTATTATAAAAACACACCAGAATTTTAGATTAAATGATATCTGAAACGAAAACATGCGGACACACCAAGCGTGCTTTAGATGTCTCGAAGGTTTGAACGCACAGACACATATACATTCAAGCACAGTCACTCGAATACAAAACACCTACATTTGTTCGTATGACAGACTTAAAGAGACTCTAAAGTCAAATAACTATTCACATCAGAGTGAAAGCTCAATGTATGACAACATCTAAAATGACAATATTATCAACAACAGTGCCCTACTTACCGAGAAATTAAGGTAAATGCACAAGAACACAAGCGCTGCAGTAGACATTTTCAAAATGAGCCCGATGACATCAGACGGACTGCCTACAATTATTCACTAGTAATCGATATAACTGCACTAAATAAAGAACCTTCCGTGCATCAAGAGACGCAATGAAATGCTGCTTGTCCGTTTCTGTTTGACTCATGGAAAAAAGAACCGCTGGACGTTACTATGGGGAATGGCGCGAGTGGTTCAAAAATTCTATTTTGGCGTGGTTGCACGAGGACAGGTAGGTGCCATCTAGTGGGGTGCTGTTCAAACAAAAGCGACTACATTCTCGAAGCCGATGGAGGGAAATTGATCAATGGCCTGTTGTTGCTGCTGTGGCTCCCGCTGCTTTCGGTCCGCTGCTACAAGCGCAGCAAAGCCGGACAACGTTGTGCACGGCTTTGCTGCGTGACGTGAGTCGGTCCGGTCAGTCTGCTTCTTGAGGCGGGTAATTTGAAGTGCGCTAAACCGATCCGGAGCACTAAAACGTGATTTTATTTCAAAATAGGCCCTTCCTTGGCACATAAGTAACACTACGAGGTTTCTGGACCGCCATTCAACAATCAACGTCGACTTAATAGTTGCCTTTAATGTCCCTTTGAAGCTTGTTGTAATAGACGCAATCATACATTACGAAATTGTTGCCCCTGGCGGAGGTGCGTTCCTTTCGACAGATCAAGTTTTGAAAACGCACTTTGAACATTGAACATCCCCTTTGAAGAATCTGAGTCTTTTGGTTGAATCTGAATTTTCAGAAATTTCACCGGTGACTGATTGTATTAAGAAGTGAGCGCAAGTGTGTCTGTCAACAACACCGAGTTCAAAGACGATAGCTTCTTTCTCGCCTGCAGTCACGACCATTCCTATAGTAGCTATCTCCTCTCGTAACTTATTATTTCATAAAGCATTTGGACATTGTTAGAACTTATATCAGGACTTTTAGCTTTTCGGCGACGCGTATACTCATTGCCTCTTGCGCTAGAAAACGCGCGAAACGAAGTGAACCGAGTTGATCACGTGCGTTGATCACTTGCCTTGCATCATGGTCACTCATGATGCAAGGCAAGGCGGTACGGGCGTGCGAGTATACATTACAAAGAAGGGTGGGACACAAAAACGCACCCCTGATATTCTTCGTTTACGTAACACTAGAGGGCACCACGTTGAGTCGCAAACGCGAGAACCTCTCTAGGCGAGAATAACGCACTCGTTCTTGGTATTTTCATATAGGCCTGGTGTGCGTGTTGTTGGTGTACGGCTACATTGGGATTGCTTTACGCTGGCTCTTTGTCTGCACACTCATTGTCTCCCTTTGAGATTTCTGTTGTATCTTAATTCGTCATCACAGGTTTGTAAACAGCAGAGAATACGAAGGTGAAAGGTTCTGTTTCAGATTTCGCGCAAACTCGATGGTTTTCAGCGTAGTGTGTCGGATGTTTGTGTTTATTCGTCATTTTGCAAAAACGAAATTCTCTAGTATGCGGCATAGAGTTTCCCAAAATTTACTAAAAGGCACTCTGGCGCTGCGATCGTTCAGCGACCATGAGAATGATGGGTAGTACACACATTTGCCTAGTCTTCCTACTTGCGGGCGGCGAATCGTACTTGCGGCTTCGTTTATTGCTGTGTTTCAGTTTTGTTTTGAAAGAAAAAAACGAACCCTTTTGAACTTAGTGACTTGATTCGGAATGGTAAGCCTAAAAGAATAAGGCTGTAAAGCGCAAACGGTGAACATTTGGTAATTTATGTTTTTATGAAAAAAACAGATCCAAGCCACACGAACACACACGGAGCCAGAAGCAAGCCACAAGTACGAAAATTAGACAAATGTGTGTACTACCCATCATTCCCATGCTCGCTGAAGCGCCGTGTGTTGCAGCTCTCATAAACACTAGCGCCAGAGTTCCCTCTAGTGTATATTAATAAACTCTATGGTATGCGGTATGCTGCTCTAGGGAAGAACAAGGTACTTCATTTTCAGCTGTCATGAGCTATGTGAGCCCCAATAGACGCCCTCTCAGTGTCTATGACGTCACATCGAGTTGGCGCGAGAAGCGAAAGGGTGTCTCGCCACCTGCGGCATTGGACTTGTCTCGCCATTCAAATCTGTCGCCCCTCTTATCATATCACCCAACATATAGCCTTGCCTGTGGGGATGATGAGCCTGGCTGTGCTCGTGTCTTGCATTGCCGCTTATGCATTTTGACGACTCAAGTTGCGCGTCGCATTGTGTTTCTATACTCGTATCTTCCTTTAGTTTTCTTCTACATTCGAACTGTGGGCATCTATCCAGATGCACCAAGTCCGCGCTATTCTCACTGTCATACTTCGCGCGAGGCATTAAGTGGAGCAACGCTGTAACTCAAGAAACCGCCGAGCTACCGGCTTAACCGAGTGCATACGCGAATGCGGCTCCGCATTCGCACGCAATTGCCTCTTCCCGCTACGCGCGCGTGCCTGAAATTACCTTTTTTTTTAAATATGGGCAAGTGCGCGCACACGCGCTCACTGACTACGCTATATGCTTCCTATCTGGTATCAAGCGCTTCCGTTTCCGCATTCTCTCACTTTCGTTTTGTATGTTATTCGCGTTGTGTGCGCTTGAATGCTGGACCCGCCTGCACGCACGCCTATACATGGCCAGCTAAACATCTCTTTGACTCCGGCAGGTGCGATAAGGTTAACCTCGACAAGCATATTAATTATTGCGTCACCACTTGGGGAAACACACACCTCACCCACTCATCTCCCATTCAGCACATTCGAAACCAAGCCAATCAGGCTAATGACTTTCAGCTCATGTCGTTCTAGTGCATCATCGTTACTTCGTAACTGCGAGATACTTTCTACTGTTAGTTTACTTAAATATCACCCCATGATCATGCTGTTCAAGTCATTGCACCATATTGTCCCATCAAGTGTCTTTTATCCTAATGCTCTGTCTAACTTTAACGTACTAAATTCGTTTCAAATGAAATTTTCTACTACCTACTATCCGCACTAATTTTGGTCGCCACGCTGCATATTTCTCAGCGTTATCATTATGGAATTCATTGCCCTCTCACATCAAACTATGCTCGACGATTGGCTTATTTAAAAAACAATTGTATTCGTATTTTATAAACTACAATGTGTTTTTATCCTGCTATATTGTTTATTCCACTCTTCTTTTTCACTTGTTTCTTTGTTAGTGTTGGTTTTATCAAGTTACTCATCTCTCTGTTTTCACTGTTACTGCTAATTGAGTAAATTTTGTAATGAAATTTTGAACAGGAGGCCCCCCCTGCAGCCTTGTGCTTTCGGACCTCCTCCTGTATATACACTTTGTATGCTGTTCCCTTTTCTGTACTAATTACTGAAAAATAAACTTGGTAAACTTGAAGCAAGCGAATGTCCCTCTGGATGATATAGCCGCTGTCCCTTCATTTTCCAATCTCACAGATAATATAGAAAATGAGGCAGCGTAGTTTTTCTGAAGACGTCCCACGTGGTCGGAACATTTCTCACGACAAATCTGTCTCATCTGTCTAGAACGTGCTTGATTGCTAACTCGCCCAGTCATGTTTCGAGAATAGGCTGTGTCTGTCCACGAAGAACATCGATAAAAGGCGTTCGAAGCGTGGTTGTCGTGATTGATTGCAGCGTGAAAACGAGGCGTATAGCCTACACTAATAGGACCCGCCTTCGAGGCCGCCACATGCCCTTGTTTTTGACATTATCGATGTGTCTGGATTCAGAGGGTATTCAGAGGGCCACACTAAATTACTAAACTACCGTCACGTTGAAACGGCTTATGAAAGAGAAAACCTGCAACATTGTTGTCACAAAAAAAAAAAAAAAAACACGGGAGAAAGGGGTTAAGGAGTGTGGGAATCAGCTCAATCCCTGCTTATTTTCATATAAAATCAATTACCAGTATTTTCTCGAAGATAAATTATTCGAATTCTATTATGGTTTACAGTAAAGAGGAATCTTTCACGAGCGACTCTTCTACAATCGTCAAACTCTAGCTGACTAGAAACACAAGTGGTTGGTCGGCTGCTGCCGACATGTATATTACTTACCTCCAACAATGAAGATCATAACTCAGTCAGTGATTGTCACGGTACGGACGCAATAAAATCGGCGAGATCGTGTACTCGAAGGCGGTGTTTCTCCTGTCAAAGGTACTTTTTTTATTGGCCTTATCTACATCAAACCTATGTAGATTCAACTATATATCGCGATGCAAAGCTTCTGCATGCTTCGTTCGTTTTCAGGCAGGCGGGCCGTTCCACAGCCAGTCGTGCGAAAAAGGGGGTATAGGCAAACGAAAAGAGCCTGTAGGAAAAAAAGAACAAAGTATTCACGCGTGCGCTGGACAGTATGTTGCTTTGTCGTTGCCATGGGCACCCGCGTTACAGTCACGCGCCTATATCATATATACGCGCGCCGTTGTAGCTTTCTATTGCTGTAGTGATAAACTATCTGTGACAGATGCTTTCCCACTGCTACGCTGGCCCTCGGTAGAGCCAGAGATGCATTTAGTTTCTACATTTTCTATGCTTACGCTGTCTATGTTCCCGTTGTCTATGTCTACCATGTCTTCCATATCGTATGTTTACCACGTCTTTGCCTCCATCTTCTGTGTATATCATGTTTATGTCGCCGTCTTTTTTGTCTGCTATGTATACATCCCGACCTTCTGTGCCTACCGTGGCAACCATATTCGATGTCTATTGCCACGCTCTAGCTAGTCGTAAGTGTTTTCAGCAGAAGCGAACGAACTTGCCGCAATTTATTTAGCGAACTTTTCTATAATTCCAAGTATTCACGTATTTCTGGACACGTTATGGTCGTAGGCCTTTGCTCACACGAGAAACTAGTGCTCATAATTGAATTTATGCGCAACATCGCGTCCAATCCGATGAACCCGCAAAAACACAAACCCATTCCAATTCAGAAGGACAGAGTTTAGGCAGATTTGTGTAGATACATCGTTTCTATATTTTTCTTATATGAAATGAAGCCTTTGAGGCTCTAAAAGAAAACTGTCTGGTCTGAAAGTAACATGATAAATGTACAAGAGGAGCACCAAGCATAGAACAATAAATAGACGTTTTGGCTCCCTTGAGGGGTCCTTAGTGAACAAGGCTCCCGCCAGGGAAGCCGGAAACGTCCCTTTCTTATTCGTTTGCGGTCGATGTTCCTCTTTATCGATTATGATACGTACATTCAGTTTCATATTGACAGCATATTCCAATGGACAGGAAACACGAGCAGGAAACTTAGACGGGGACGATGTTTGACCTAAGAAGTAGGCTGTATTGCTTAAACCACGAACTTTGCTGCAAAAGTCTATTCGGGCCTATCTGGCTTTTAGGAGCGCTGAATTTTGGGCGAGCTGGTTTTCCATAGCATAATACTTAAGCGCGCGCTAAGAAGGACAGAGAAAGGTGGTGACAGCACTATTTCTTCCAACTGATCATTCACTCACGCAAATGCATATTATAAACACTTCCTTCTTGACGCCATAAACCGTCGTAATGCTGATACGAGCATGTTCCCATGATATCAGTACTACGGTTTTGTGACTTCATGAAGGAAGTGTTAATACTATGCGTTTTCGCGAACGAATGATCAGTGGAAGTAAGCGCTTGTGTTGTCATCAGCTCCCTTTGTCCTTGTTAGCGTGCGGTTAAGTAAGTGTTCTGCTATCTGGCTTTATTGCATATGGGGGAGCTCGTTGCATGACAGCTCAAGGAACTGTTCTAAATGTAAACTATCAGGCTTTACGGTAGGACTGGAAAGTAGGGATAGTTGGAATGCGTGCATGATTGACGCAGCGCTAGAGACGAAGACAAAAAAAAAAAAAAAAACTCAGTGCACAGAACGCCCGTTATGTGCATTATGTGTGTCTTTAGTCTTCGTTTCTATCGCTGCGTCAATCATGTTTACAGTATACGTCATGTCGAGATGAAATCAAACAAAATATCTCACTTTCTGCGAAGTAACCAAAAGAGAGATGCGTAGTCGGCTATACGCAAATATGCCCAAACTTTGTCATTTTTTTTCACTTAGAATTTACTTCGTGGCTTTGTCGATTGATCGCATTGAGCTAGTCATTACGCTTAAATGCATCAGTTTACTTTGATCGTTTGCGGGAGCAATGATTTTTAGCCCTAATCATATCAGAAATATGTAGGCCTGTAAATTTAGAAACAAAGTGTGGTTGGCAGATGTCGTTGCGAGAGCATCTGGTGTCGTTAACACGAGGATTTGACGAATTCATGGGCTAACCACAATTTGTGTTCGAGCGGAGCGATCGCGCCTCCTTTGTGTAGATTTAGTAATACATTCTTCAATTTAGCCTCCCCCCGCCCTCTTGCTTTCCAGAGTACGAACCCCTCAGGCTATGTAGCGAGTTGTGAAGGTATGTTTATGACTTGACGAACCATAATGTTAGCATCTCATCTTTATGTAACGTTTATAGCGCGTCTGGAATAGCCATTGAATTTGGTTACTAATCCTGGTTTGGATACCGGGGCGTCATTAGATGACAAACTCTTGAACACGGGTCGTTCCTGGAGCCGATGCTTTGGCAAGCTGTCGTGTTCCGCAACACTGCAACTGCATACATTGGCACGCGTAACGCGCTGAAGTGGGAAGTTGCAGCCTTGAAGAAGGAAAGACCGCTTGTCCAGACGTTGCTTCTGTTGGCAGTGTGACACTGCGACGCGCCGTTTTGACACGAAGAAAGACGCACGAAAAACACACGTAGTACACGACACGAGTGCGAACAAGTGTTGTTAGTTCGCGCTTGTGTTGCGTACTAGCTACGTGTGTTTTCTTGGCGTCTTTCTCTGTGTTCAAACGACGAGTAACAGTGTTAACAATGCACCGCCAACGAGCCCCTACTCTGGCTCTTCTAGCTCCAGTGACATCTCGTGTTCGAGGATTCTTCATCGGTCCAAGCCTCGCTCTTCCTCTGCCTTTTTTGCACGTAATTAGGTATTATTTGCGGTGGCACATTTTTATCTGTGAATTTGATAAATTTTCTCGTACCTGTGCCGCGGGATGAGCCTGTGGGGTTACTGTGATTAAATAATAATAGGAATAAATACATAGTGATGGAATGTGCAATGCTCTAAAGAAAAAAAAAAAACTGATACGCTCCGTGTTGGTAGGGTGTATAAGGCTCCGCTGTGTGTAAATGTTTTGTTGAGTATAACGCAGGTAATCTCATTATAGAACGACGGTCATTCGGTATCCTAGTACATTCACACCTCCTGTAACTGCGCTAGCAGGCCGTACCGAGTTGGCTCATATGCAGGGCTCATATGCATGTGTTTCTTTCAGAACTTCTGCATGTTCGTGGCCTGTGGACGTGACTCCGGAAGTGACTCGGCCAGTGTGAAAACGTGCGTGACATTAAGGCATCGTTGTCATGGGCGCTTTAAGGCGCGAAATAGTCTTGCGCGCCGAGTCGTCCTTCCAAACGAAGACCTCTCCCTGCCCCATTTGCCGTGGTGGTATATACCTCTTAGTTTTGTCCTGACTCTGCACTTGTTTTTTTTGGACGTCACATATACGAACGCCTTGCGTCCCGTGAACATGTCTCCTGCGGCAATGCGCCCTCCCGGACTTCCCTCGGAGTTGTTTCTTTTCCGGAAAACTTTCAATACCAATCTTTTCTAACGTAAGCGATCATCCTTTCTCGCGATCCCATCGCGATACACTTTCGCTTGCTACAGTTTTTTTTCTCCGGACGAAAGGACACCGGTTCAAACGTACGCGAGCATCTCGCTTGAAAACTCGCCCGCGTGTAGTCATAGATGCAGCGTCCGGGTGTCTTCACCACGGACACCCTGCTTTCCGGAATGTCAAAAAAGTGTGCGTGTGTACGGCTTCTTCAATGGTACCGGTGGACGGATCTGCGTGTGTGTCGTTCCGTCGAAGACAGCACGTGTGAAACCTTCTTCGGGATGCTAGCTTTTGAAGTCCTGTCCGTCGTAGGTGAATCCCATGAGCGTGTGTCCTTTGTAAGGGCCGAACGCGTACTCCGGGTACATGAGCTCCTTGCGGTAGGTGGGCATCAGCGACATGTCCGGAGGTGGCGGTGGCGGTAGCGTCAGCGGTGGCAGCGTCGTGGTGCGCCGTCCCTTGCGGCGTCGTTTCACGATCCGCCTCAGCGAGAAGCCCTTGGGAGGAGGTGGCTCTGTGGTCGGGGGTTCGGGTGGTTCCCTTGCCCTTATTTCCACGGTGATCGAGGGACTCTTCTGGTACCTGCGAGCGACATGCAAATCATTGCGGAGGCACCATTTTATACGCAATTGAACTAACACTGGTAGATTGAAAAGGAAGAAAAGTTTCCGCTAGTAATGAAGCAGAGAGTGCGATCTAGCGCATTACATCTGACCTCAGCGCTTAATTAGGTTTAGTCACACGTCAAACAACCCCTGAGGGTCGAAATTATTCTAGTCTCTCTCTGTAGTGTGCCTCAAAGTCAGATCGTTGTTCTGCCACGTCAACACTTGCACTCAATTTACAAAACTTAGATCTGGTACCTTTGCACGTCTATGCCTTACATAATAAGTGCGTGAGCAGAACTAACACTACACGAACTGGCAAACGCCGATACTGAAAAAATGTATTTCAGGTAGCTCTGACTATAGTTTTCATTTAATTTGTACATCAAGTTTACTTCGTGTCCCCTGTATTAATACAAGAAAATTATGTAATACTTATTTGTTTTGTTTTTGAAATTAAGTCCCTGACACATTCATTACTCTTTTACTGTGTTCATTTCTGACTCCTATCTTTGTTGTCGTGAGAAACGTGCAATTTTCTTCTGATTTCAAAAATGAGATACTTTCTTCGGAAATTGAAATCCTCCCGTGAACACTTTCTTCAAGAGGACAACCATGCCAAAAAGAGTGAACACATTCATCACCGGAAGCGAAATTGTTTCTGCGATACTGAATGTACTGTTTCTGGCGCTCTTTTGATAACGATATTGCCAACGAAGATGTTACAACCTGCTTCGGACTAGCGAGGCTCTTATCCGAATGAGGTGAATTTATCCAGTCCGTAGCTCTCAGTGCAGTATAGTATACACAGTATGAACCATGCTGATAAAGCGAATAAAACATAATCAGGACGCCATATATATGCACTACCAGTTACGCTGTACTCACAGTGTGCATTGCGTACATTGCCATGAAAGCTGTATATATACAATGAAGTGATATAACGATTTCATTTAATTTTCACGCTGTAACGTAGGAAAGGTAACCATATAACAAGGAATGAATCTGGTTTCGGGCAACAAGTGGTTGAAACTAGTCATATGTGCTTGATATCGATGAGTATTTGACCGGCCCTGCGTAGAGCCCCAGGGTCATGCAGAAATTTCGTTCAGTGCTCTGTCGCACAGCTCTGCGATTGTAGGGTGAAGCCCACCTGTGCAGGTCGTAGTCTCCCTGCTGCAGCTTGTAGTCGTCGTGTTGATGGTGGTGGTACCTGTCTCCGAGGGCGTCGTCGTCCTCCTGCTTCTGCTCCTTCGAGTTGCTGCCTCCGAAGGTGGCGTCGATTCCAACCTTGAAGCCCGACCGCAGGCCGGACCCGTGGCCGTTGTCCAGGTCGCGGTATATCTTGATGGACCTGCGTGCGAAATGTCGATATTGCGCGGGCATTGACGGCTTACCGAACGCATGTAAACTTGGGCGAAATCGGAGTTGCAACTTTTAGGGAACTGGCTTGTAGTATGGCTTTGAAACAGAGGAAGATGAAAGATGAAGTAACAAACGGACACAAGCGCTTACGTACGTTCTTTTTCACTTCACTTTTCGTCCACGTCTGTTGTGCGGTACATGCTACAAGTCAATTTACGGCTGAAACGACTAGCTAGAATTAGAACCCTGTTCGGGAACATCGTTTAGGTTACAAATGAATGGTCGTGGAATAGACTGTTAATGTGTTTTTCTTGTGTCCTTTTCTGTATGTGATAAAAAATCTGTGAAGTTCCTAAATACCTTTGTGCTTCCGCCTTCTCAGAATTTCTACCTTGTTCGCTCATCTCTATGTGATATGTGGGGTTTAACGTCCCAAAACCACCATATGACCATGAGAGACGCCGTAGTGGAAGGCTCCGGAAATTTCGACCCCCTGGGGTTCTTTAACCGTGCACCCAAATCTGAGCACACCGGCCTACAACATTTCCGCCTCCGTCGGAAATGCAGCCGCCGTGTAATAGTAGTATCGCCAGACTCTATAGTTTCGTTTTTGATGCACATGGGAGTGAAATTGCAGTTGTGAAGAAATCAACAAATCAGTGATTAAATAATTTCTGCAATCTAATGTGGTTCTAAATTTTCTATACAAGTTTACTCGTTATTGCTGGAAGTGATAGTAGAGTTTTATACGAATAAAATAAGTTCTCCAGCCACTTGTAGCCAGAGTTTCTAATGTTGAAATTGAAAAACAAGAACTGAACAGATGTTTCGGGACCGATTCGGCCCCTTTTTCAGGAATGTCTGTCACCCCTGAGAACAGTCACCCATCAAGGGAGCCAAATTGGTCCCGAAACGTCGGTTAAATTTTTATTATTTTTTAAATATTAATATTAGAAACTTTGGACTAAATGTGGCTGGAGAGTAAATTTTATTCCTATGAATTTTCTACCCAGCTAGACAGATATTTGTCGAATATGTTCACCTTTAAAAAAGTGGAGTTTTTCCCGTTTCTCTGGAAGCTGCGCCTACCCTTTACAGAGTTAATTCAGATTTCAGGGTTGCGAAACGGGACTACAGGGTTAACGAGCACTGCGATTCACTGTAGGGGTGTTCCTTACGGCTTTGGTATCATAGAGCCCAGGGTGCTCCGGCGTAGCAGCATTCCGAGCAGGACGGCTTCGGCACCGCTGGCCAGCCACAGCGCCAACCACACGGAGAGCAGCCGGGGTGCCGCCGCTCCCATCACCGTCGCTGCACTCCCGACTTTCATCGCGTTCGCCGCCTTCTCTGGATGTGGCGGCCGCGCGGTGGGCCTCCGGCGCTTCCTTTATGGAGGGAGGGCCTCGCCTCCTCTCCCAGCCACCACTTTGGACGACGGCGTCGGGGTGAGGAGGAAGAGGTTGGCGCGCTTTTCGGACCGCGCACGCGATACCTGCGCACAGAAAGAGAAATTCGGCGTTGAATGGCGTGTGTGGCACCTCTTGAGTGTTTTCACTGGACCGTTACGACGATTGCGGGACCTGTTACGAGGTGCTGTGTCAATGACACGGAGGCAGAAGGATGGGGCGGGCGCGCGTATGAGAGCTGACGCTACGGCACTCCAGATTGATGAATGTGCGACGAAAAGACACGTCCACAAAAGTACTAAATCGATAGCAGTAAGGAACTTCTTGGTATTGGTGACAGTAAACAAGAACATGCGATGCACAGTCTTCAAAGGTTTCAATGTGTGACGTAAGCAGTTCGTGTAGATTAAAGGAACTATCCCGTCATTGACTGAGTCTGCTAACTGCCGTTTGGATGGCAAACCAAATCTTAGTCGATTTGGTGGCTCAAATGTGTTTGCTTAGGGGTTTCTCTTTGTCATCGTAAATATGCTCTTTTAACAACTGTCCCGATTGCTTATACCCACAGTATATATTTTAGATTGTTCGGATGTGATCGCCTAGTCACCATTTCATACTGCAGCTGCCTACGGCAGCATTTTACATGAAATATGAGTCTTAAAGTCAACAAGAGAGAGAGAGAGAGAGAGAGAGAGAGAGAGAGAGATGAAAATCAAGACAAGGCTGGTGGTTAACCACACAAGTGTTTACAGATAAACTGTAGCGTTCGCACATTTTTTGCCTCCTCTGTCACATGCTACACAAATGCCTATAGTTAGGCTGTCGATGATTCAATTTCCACAAAACCCATTTGCCCCCCCCCCTCCCTCCCCATGGAAGTTCAACGTGCTATAACCGCTCACAATCCTCCTTAATCATACCTGGGTAATGTTGTCGAGCAATTGGTGATAAACTGAGCACCTGAAATCTTTTTTTTTTCTTTTTGACGACCGTACAGCAGTAAATGGTATTTGGTTACCGCATCAAAATAACATGCCTTTGCGCGCGATAAGTATATCGAGCGAGCTGCAGGTCTGTACTTCGCATCAGTTCTAAGGACCCTAAAACACGCCGCGGTTGTCTATTGGTTATGGAGCTCAAATGTACACCCGAAAATAGCGATGGAATCCTGGCTGTGGCACCCGCATTTTGTCGGAGGCAAAGTGCTAAAGGATCGTGTACCTTGATTTAGGCGCTCGTTAAGGAACCCCAGGTGGTCGAGATGTCCATGTTTCACAACTACGGCGTCATTAACAATCGTACCGTGGCTTTGACGCGTAAAACCCTTACGATCATTTATGTAAGTCTTTTAGAGAAAAGACCATCCTTGTTTGCGCAGGCCGGAAGAGAGAAGTCAGTTTTAACTGGCATTATTCTCACTCTTTTATTCAGTAAAGTTTATTCACGATCATCGTAAAGTGCACATCTTGGACGAGCGCTTCCATAGATCGACTTCGTTGGACGTGAAGAGGGCCTGCTTTCTGTGCCATAACGTGCATACATAAGTGATGTGAGCGAAACCTGCATGCGAATAAATGAAATACTATGCGTGATGGCCTATTTTCGCAAAATCCAGGCAGACCGAGTTTTTCTTTCTCTCTCTTTTTTTTCTTGTTGTTTCGTGTTAGCGTCCTAGTAAGTACATATTTATGAGGAAATATAGGTATTAGCTCTTTCCCTTTTGCACACGCTCGCCATTTCTCGGCTTAAACATGGTCGGTATTCGGGCTGTTCAGGCTTCTCGGCAATACCCGCGGAAGCTACAGTGTTGCATGTGCTTTCATATTTTGTCACATGGAAAGTGCATCGTATTATGAGGTTGCTTTCCCAAACCCTTCCTTTCCCCTTCCCAGTGCGGGGTAGCCTACCGGGTTAACCTCCCTGCCTTCTTTTCATCCTCCTCTTATTCCTCCTTTTATTGAAGAGTTATACGTGAGAAAATGTACAAGAAGACTGTTCTGTGACGTAGCACGGACAGCTGGCATATACTAGCTGTCCGTAGACCGTCTCGCAAGAGGCAAGTCTGGCATCTTTCAGTAACTCCGTCGGTGATTTTTGTGACCCTTTGTAGCTGCGGTATGCGATATCGGGGAGCACAAAATTTTGTTCACACGGTGATAGCCTGTCGGGTTGTCTCACCCATGGATGTGTGCTGTGATCAAGTCTTTTTTATTTGTTAAAGCACGAGCTGCATGTTACAAGAAACGTTCGACAGTTTTTCTCGAGCATAGTCGGTCATTATCGTCATAGAATCGTGGCTGCACCGTGATATCAGCGACTGTGAAGTATTTCCAAGTGACTTTGTCGCGTACCGCAAAGATAGACCAAGCCATGGGGGCGGTGTATTCTTACTTGTGCGAAGTTCTTTGAAATTTGCTGCCCTCGACATTCAGTGCGATATTGAATCTGTTTGGTGCACGATTACCCTAGATGATAATTCTTCATTCGCTGTAGGTGCATTTTATCGACCCCCAAACTCGGACTACAAAACACTTCAGTCGTTAAATGAAATTATCTCGGAAGTTTCAAACCGAACATTCCTTCTTGCTGGGGACTTTAATTTGCCAGACTTAGAATGGCATGATGGAATATGCGTAAGAGGCACTGGGTGCCGCACAAACATAGAAATGAAAAATATAATAGACAACTACGGCCTTTCCCAGTTTGTTACTTGCCCAACTAGAAATAATAACCTTCTTGACCTTGTGTTCTCAAATTCACCCAGTTTGGTGAATAACGTCAATGTTATTCCAGGAATCAGCGACCACATGGCTGTTGTTGCAGAAATCAAAAAAGAATGTAAAAACACCTCAAATAGTGCGGCAAGAAAGGTTTTTCTGTTCAGTAGGGGTGACTACACAAGAATAGTTGAAAAGCTAGAAGATTATTTGCCCGTGTTTGAATGCCTATCTGAACACTACAGTATGAATGATTTATGGCTTAGCTTTAAGGACAAGTTGTTAGCACTCGTAGATAAGTATATACCTGCGAAACAAGCCGGAGAGCTTCGTAAACGCAAGAAGCCATGGATGACGTCCGGTATTTTGAGATTAATCCGGAAAAGGCGACGGGTTTTTCGTAAATTAAAGAAATCTGGAAGCAGTGACCACGTGAAAGAATTACAAGCATTAACGGAGCAGTATAAATCATGTGTGGAAAACGCAAAAACGAAATATTTCGAAGGGCTCAGCAATAAAATGAAAACTAATTCAAAGTGTTTCTGGCATTATATCAAAGAGTGTGGGTCTGATCATGTTGGAGTGGCTGAACTAAGCTTTAATAATATGGTTGTGGTTGATGAGGAAGCAAAAGCTACCTGCTTAAACAAATATTTCCAGTCTGTGTTCTTGCCCAAGCTTGACGTTCCTTCAAAACCACACCCAACCACGATTCCGCTGATGCCACCGGTAGAACTGAGTGTCCGTGGCATATGTTCTCTTCTCGAAAACCAAGATGAATCCAAAGCAGTTGGTCCTGATGGCATCTCTCCTCGTATTCTAAAGCGATGCGCACTGCCAATTTCTCTTTACCTCTATATAATTTATTCAAAATCCCTTTCAACGGGAACTCTACCCGAAGATTGGAAAATTTCTCATGTTGTTCCGGTTCATAAGGGTGGCTCAAAAAAAGATGTAACAAATTACCGACCCATTTCATTGACGTCAGTGGCATGCAAAATTTTCGAGCACATTTTATCCAAGCACATATTGACCCATCTTACTGCTAATAATGTATTAATAAATGAGCAGCACGGTTTTCGTAAAGGTTTTTCTTGTACGACGCAACTTGTAGAGTTCTTTCACGAGCTGGCTTCCAACGTTGATGAAGGTGGACAAACAGATTGCGTGTTTTTAGATTTTCGAAAGGCCTTTGACACCGTGTCACACTCCCTTCTCCTGGCTAAATTACAGACTCTAAATTTCGACCCAAATGTGTTCATCTGGATAACCAATTACTTGCTGAACAGGCGTCAATGCGTTCTTTTAAATGGGAAGTGTTCATCCTATGTTAACGTTACATCAGGCGTGCCCCAAGGCTCTGTCCTTGGGCCTCTCTTATTTTTTATTTTTGTAAATGATATTTCTGTGGGTATTTCGTCGCGCATGCGTTTATTTGCCGACGATTGTGTGTTATATCGACAGATTCAGAACAAAGGTGACTGTGCTTATTTGCAGAACGATTTGGATTGTATTGTACAGTGGTGCCACAAGTGGCAAATGACGCTAAACCCCAAAAAGTGCGTTCATATGCGTGTTTCCAAAAAAAAGAAACCAATAGTAACGGCGTACACCATAGATACGCATATTGTTATTACCGAACCAACATGCAAATATCTTGGCGTTGTTTTGTCGCATGATTGCTCATGGAATGCCAATGTTGATCACGTTGTTAGCAAAGCGGCAAGGGCTCTAAATTTCATTCAGAGGAACCTAAGATTGGCACCCCGAACATTAAAAAATACGGCCTATCTCACATGTATTAGACCGATTTTGGAATACGCATGTCCTGTGTGGGACCCGATGCAGGCGAACTTGATTGATAAGCTTGAAAAAATACAAAACAGAGCTGCGCGGTTTGTTTTAGGGCGGTACGAGCGGAGAGACAGCTGCAGTGCTATGAAAGCTGAATTGGGTTGGGAATTGCTTTCTTTACGCAGGAAAAAACTGCGTTTGAAGTTTTTCTTTTCTGTTTTTCATGGGCGGACTGGGATTGACCGTCATAACTATTTCAGTGAACCCAGCTACATATCTAGTCGACATGACCACCGACGCAAAGTGAAAGAGTATCGAGCAAGAACGACCATGTTTTATAATTCCTTTTTTGTTATGACCATTAGAGATTGGAACCAGCTGCATGACGAGCAAGTGTGCTGTATAAACGAAGAATTGTTTTATTCCAGTCTGTAACCCCCCTGCTGTAACGCCTTTTTGAGCAAAGCGGGGTACTCACTGAATAAAGAATAAAGAATAAAGAATTA